TATCTCCCAACAGAGTTCTTGTCCTTAACTCGAGTAATGTTCTTTAAAAGTAGCAATGGATTTGTAGTGAGTCAGAATGGAATGAAATTAAATGTTTCAATGAAATCTGAGATATGTCTTTTTTCCCTTAGTACTAGCCTGCTTCTCATATTGCCTGTGGGACAGTTAGATCAGATAGATATACTGAGCATACTCCATAGGTACTATAAGTGGAGAATTAAAACAGCATAGGCGGATTCTTTCCATTGCTTCTCTTACTCTATTTGCAACCTACTGCATCTAAATAAACACTACAAAACTGATTATTTTACAGCTATATATTCACGCTTTTTGAAAAACATAGCTGAACCAGAGGGCTTCTTCTTGAAGGAAAAGAAATTGGCAACACTCATTCAGCAACTCACCACTTTGGTGAATGGTAGTTAGGCAGTGTCACTTTTAGCTGTTGATGGGACAAAGCTGCCTGGCCTGCTAGTGAGAGATAGGAATTAAGCCATGAAACTAATGAACAGAAGAGGAGCTGGAAAGCAAGGTTATGCTGTCCTTCGCCTGTTGAGATAGTCCTGGATTTTAATTCTCTCTCCTTCCTCCTGCACAGCCAGTAATGGCTATCATACAAGGTTGATTTCTGTACAGATATGCTATTCCAAACAGTCTCCAGTGAGCCACCTTTATGCCTTCCAACGGTTTGACTACATTCAACTTGAAGTGGGCTTTGCTTTGAGCTCGGGTCAGACAAGGTGATTATCAGAGGTCCCTTCCAAAATGAACTACTCCATGATTCTATGAACCTGTTCCAGTCATCTCCCTCCTAGCATGCAGTGCCATGAATGGAAGCAGCACCAGGACTGTGGGTTGAGAACTAAGGCTCCTTTTGATTAGCACAGATCTCCCTAAAAGGGAAGAAATCAGGAAGAAATCCCATGAAAGTGAGGGTAGTTCCCTGAAATCACCATGCTAGAGAAAACACACAAAACCTGCCAATTCAACCTGGTTCTATGTAGCTTTTTTTCCTCTCTCTTTCTTTTAAACGGAGTTTCCCTTGTTCTTATCACTAATCTTCCCTCCATAAGGGAGATAATATTCAATTTTATAGCATGTTTTAGGTAGCAAATGTTTGTGTTATCAGGTACTGGCTCTTGTTTGCTTTCTAATGCTTCCCAAGCTTTCCAGAGCCTGTTTTTTAATCTACCAGCCAGTCTTTGATACAGAATCTGGAAATTATTTTGCTGCCAAAAGTATACAAGGGAGGTGGGAGAAAATCTGTGGGCTTCTGCTAGAGTAAACACAAAGAACCATTCTCTCATCTAGTAAAACAATAAGATTAGTCCTTTTATCATTATTTTTTTTGCTTTCCTTCACTGCTTTGTAAACACTGCTTGTATGACTTTGCCTCTTATCATCTGCAAACTGAATCTGCTTTTGTTGAAGCAGTGTCAATCACAAGGGTTTTTCTGTTCATATAGTTAGTGATATGACTGATTGAAAAAGAAGACAGGCTTTCATTTGGATCTGCAATATGTGGCATACCTACTCTGGAAACATTAGGGGGTAGAAGACAAAGGGAACAATATGGTAAAGTATAACCCAAAGTTCATTTGCTCTGTCAAGGAGATTAAGATTAAACTGAAGGAGGTCAAAGCTATTAACATTTAGACTACAGGGTATTTAGCAAGTTAGCATCTAGTTAGGTATTGGCTTTCTAATTTGGAGGGAAGCTGGCTTCTAACTTTTTACGTAAACACTTGCATTAGCGAAAGCCTGGGTGGTCTCAACATTGTAACCCACTGGACATATTTGATCCAAATCTGCCTGCAAAAAAATGTCCTCTGTGACCAACCTGACATTTAAATTGTAAATAAGTCCCTTGATTCCTTTCTACCAACTGTGATAGCATTTGTAAAAGGAAAACTTCACAGTGATGCTTCTAAGTTTCCTTTCCCAGATATGAAATTCTCCTTCACACCATACATTTTGTGACAATCTTATATGCAACTCTTTGGACTAAGCAAAAAGATTACTGCATTCACCAGTAAGGAGCAGAGATGTGACTTGTTTTTAATTAACATAGCAAAAGTACTAGCAAACTGACTTTTATACAAGTCAGATATGCATTTATGGAATATGCTTCACATTTTCAAGTCACATTTTCTGATTTTGTGGTGCTCTCTCTATAGCTTTTTGCTCTAAATCCAACGGCAAGTGAAGAGGGATGGATTACTATGGGAAAATGAATTAAGAGAACAATCACAGACCAGCCAGCATTGTCAGCCTTCAGAATGTGATTTGACTAAACTTTAGTAACACTGACCCAAAAAACCATCACAGTGACCTTATTTCGGAAACGGTAGCCACTCAAAGTTAATCATAGAATCATAGACTTGCTTGTGTTGGGCTGGTAGGGACATTAATGATCATTTAATTCCAAACACCCTGCGATGGGTAGACTTGCCAATTGCTACAATAAGAAATTGTAACTTAGACCAGGAGGCCCAGGACCCTATCCAGCCTGCTCTTGAACTTTTGCAGCAACAGGGCATCCACAGTTTCTCTGGGAAACCCATGCCAGTGCCTCACTACCGTCTGACTAACAAATTTCCTCCTAAAGTCTAAATCTCTCTCTTTTAGTTTAAAGCTGTTCCCCCTTGTCCTATCATTATTAGACCATGCAAAAAAGTCGGTCTCCATCCTATTTATAAGTCCCCTTTAGGAACTAGAAGGCCACCATGGGATGTCTTCAGAGCTTACTCTTCTCCAAACTAAACAAGCATATCTCCCTCAACATTACTTTATAGGACAGATGCTCCAGCCCTCTGATCATTTTCATTGCCCTCCTCTGGACCTGCTCCAACAACTCTATGTATTTCTTGTTCTGAAAGCCCCAGACCAGATGCAGCAGTCCAGATGGAGCCTAATGAGGACAGAGTGAAGGGAGACAATCACCTCCCATGTCCACCTGGCCACCCTTCTTTTGATGCAGCTCTGGATACTGTTAGCTTTCCGTGCTGCAAGTGCATACTGCTGGCTCATGTCCAGTTTTTTGTCCACCAGGATGTCCAAGTCCTTGGCATTGCTGTTCTCAAGGAGCTCTTCTCCATGTTAGTACACATAACTGAAGTTGCCCCAACTCAAGCGCAACACCTTGCACTTGCTTTGTTGAATCTCCTTAGATTCTTATGGGCCTGCTTTTTGAGCTTGTTCACTTCCCTTTGGATGAAATTCCTTCGTTCTGTTATACCAACTGTATTATTCTGCTTGGTGTCACTAGCAAAGCTGTTGAGGGTACACTCAATTCCGCTGTCTCAGTCACTGATAAGGATGTTGAAGAACACTGGTCTCAAGATGGACCCTGAGGAGACACCTGTCATCACCAGCCTCCATATGGAAGGAAAACCATTGACCACAATTCTCTGACTGATATCATTTAAACCTAATCTCCCTCTGAAGTTAGTTACTGTATTTTCATTAGATTTATATGCTTTGGCTTAGAATTTTACTGGTATAACTACTCATCTCCGGCAGGGATATGAGATGTATGAGGGTATGAGATGACCCTTCCCAGTAGAATCTGTTGTTATTCGCACTGTCATGTGCCTTCAGTCCAGAGCTTCATTTCTGTATTCCACCTGCCTTTCAGACTGCATTGATTCAGGAGGATCAATGGATCCTTTCACAGGAAAAGGCTCAAACTTTCACAGGAAAAGGCTCATGTCAACTTTGAACTGGAAATAGTTTTAAAATATGAACCATAGCTTTTCCTCCTGCAAGACTCTGAAAGCTGCATTCATTGACCTAGCCCAGCTCCAAACCTCCCTCCACCCCAAAATTAAAAGCACCAAACCTGATAAAATCCACTGGCAGTCTCTTTCACTTCTACTACCGTGCTGGGTTTTTGAAGCATCAGAGGAAGTCCTACCATTAAAACTATAGCTTAAACAATTGCCAGAGTGCAACAAACAAATACAGTTGATTAATCAAGCAGTTACAGCCCAGGACACTCTTCTATAAGCTCAGAGGAGAACCTCACAGAATGAAGCACTTAGTGGTTGCATCCCTTTAACTTTTAAAACCTATTGCAGTATTTTGATATCAGGAATTCACTGTGTGTTAAACTCTCACTGTCCACTGCTGTTGGAGTACAGCATTGTTGAGTTCAACCAGGGCCATCAAAGCTTTTCAGGCTCAATTGTCTAGAATTTATATGTCGCTGTCTCACACAAACCAAGCTCTGACTTTCCCAGCCTAATCTCTCCATTTATCACCTGTCACTCCATTCCTATTGAGACTACAATATTGCCATTATGAGAAGCATTACCAGTCTGCCCAGTTCTAATTTTGCTAAATGCTTTTGAAAGGAGAAGACCAACATATTAGCACCTCATTAGTTAATCAGGTTTGCACTGCTAAGCACATCAGTCTTCTGAGAGAAGAGATAACACAAAACAAAACAAAACAAAACAAAACAAAACAAAACAAAATAAAATAAAATAAAATAAAATAAAATAAAATAAAATAAAATAAAATAAGAATCACAGAGAGCTTCCTTCGGATAGAAAAACAGAAACCTATTGTTTTGGAAGGATCAGAACAGTTTATATCCAGCTTTCTGAAAGCAACAGAAATAAACTATGGCAAAGACTGACAAGTATTCATAAAACATTTGGCACAAATGAGCCTACATTTTTCATCAAAGAAAGTAATTTCACAAATCTCTGTTCTTTCAGAGATACATTTTTTTTTTTTGAGTGTGTATATGCCATAGAAAAAAATACCATTTTACTGTTATTAATTATAATGATAGTCCTAAAGCAAAAAGGTTATTTTACGAAAAGCAGTGCGTTTCAAAAAAAATGCAACATAGTTTTGACAACATAGATCAACTAATTCTGTTGAACATCAATCTAATTTGAAAGAGGAATCATAACTGCACAAAAAATAGGGTTTTAAATTAAAAAATACGCCAGTGCATTGTGTCTATTATCAATACACTGCAATGAACAGAATCATAAATAAGGTAGATGCAAAGTGTTTTTAAAAATCCCTAGCAGTAACCAGCACACAGAAGAATACACTCACAGAATAATATACTCAAAATGAGATCATCTTCCCTAGCTTAGAGCATGGAGTTGTCTGTTATTTCTAACTTCGTACACAACTACAATACAGAGCCAGATCCCAAATCACTGAAATTAGCAGTAACTCCCACTCAAGAGCCAGTTTCCTGCTTCTGGGGTACATGGTGTACTGAAGCCTGACTCTAATCCACTTCACCATCTGGCAACCTATCGAGGAAGGCATCAAGAAAGTATAAAAAGCTAGCACAAGATTTTTCTGTACTTTCTATGTCCCTCTTAAAATACCAGTTGGGGTTGAGCTTTTAAACATATTCCTCTTCTAATCAATCCCTCTTTGGAAGGATTCTGTTGCAAGCCAATTCTGAGCTTTTTTAATTCAGTTGTGCCATCAAAATTGGGCAAAAGAAATAAAAGGTAGATAAGTAATAGTTTTTAAGATACAGTTTCTTAATCTGTAGATTGTTATATTACAAAGGAGGTACAAGAAGTTATGTTTGATTAGTCATAGCACTACTTTTCCTTTCTGTAAGTAATTACTAAAAGAACAGGAAAACTGTCTCTTTAAGTAAGGAGATATAAAACAAGAAGAAAAATAAACCATGTAGTGTCAGCACTTCACTCCAAATAGCATAGTTTGGAGTTTTCATGCCACTAAATTAACATATCCTTGGAATATGCCATAAATGATGAACTCCTTAAAAAGTGCTGCATCCAACAATTCTGGAATGCTACAACGCATTATTTTATCCATACAGATAAAAAATATATATCATAAAAGTAGACCAAAAACAAAATCAGCAGTAGGTTAGATAAAAGTGACCATGATTTTCCTCTATTTGTTCTACATACTCAGAATTAAGTCCAGGCCAGCAATATGTATTCTTGATGAATTGGAAAAGCCAATTTTACAAAGCTGAAAACAATTATGTGCTAAGTCATTTGGGAGAAAGAAATTAGACAGGAAATGTGGATAATAACTGGAAAGTGTTTAAAAACATTTTACTAGAGGATTAAAAAAGGAATGGAAGCTGGGCTGGCCTAAATATTGACTTGTATGAAAGTGAAAACAGATATGTAAGTCATAATTATTGTGCAAAAAAATACTGTTTACTAGAAGTAGTGTGTATTAGACAAAAGATTAGACAAAATAATTACAGAAATAACACTGAGGATGGAATCAAGAAATAAATTTTTTTCAACTTATTCATCAACGACTTGAATGAAGGGACAGTACACTCAGCAAATTTGCTGATGATAGAAAATTGGGAAGAGCAACTGACACACCAGAAGTCTGTGCTGTCATTCAGCAAGCTCTGGACAGGCTGGAGAGCAGTGTGGAGAGGAACTTCATGAAGTTCAACAGAGGCAAGTGCAGGGTCCTGTTCTGGGGAAGGAATAACAAGTACACATCAGTACAGGTTAAAGGTTGACATGCTGGAAAACTGTGGAGAAGGACCTGTGAGTCCTAGTGGACAAGTTGAATATGAGCTAACAAAGAGCCTTTTTTGTCTAAGAAGGCCAATAATATTCTCAGAAGCATTAGGAAGAGTGTTTTCATGAAGTCAAAGGAGGTGGTCCTTCCCCTCTATTTTGTCCTGGGGAAGCTTCATCTGGAGTAGCCCCTCCAGCTCCAGACTTCTCAGTACATGAGAGACTAGAGAGTTCATCAGGGGGCTGCAAAGATGATTAGGAGCCTGGAGATTCTCTCTTATGCGGAAAGCCCTCCCCCTCTATTTTTTCCTGGTGAGGCTTCATCTAGAGTAGCATGTCCAGTTTTCGACTCCTCAGTATAAGAGAGACTAGAGAATCCATCAGAGATCTACAAAGATGATTAAGAGCCTGGAGATTCTCTCTTATGAGGAAAGGCTGCAAGAGCTGAGATTATTCATCTGGAGAAGACTGAGAGGGCATCTTCTCAATGTGTACAAATATCTTAAGGGAGAGTATCAAGAGCCAGACTCTTCAGTTTTGACCACTGACAAACTGAAAGGCAATGAGCACAGGCTGAAACACAGGACATTCCATCTGAATATGAAGAAAATCATTATTGTGAGGAGAGCACTGCTACAAATTTCTCAGAGGGGCTGTGGAGTCTCCCTGTTTGGAGGCTGTGAAAACCTACCTGGATGTAATCCTATGCAAGTTGCTCTAAGTGACTCTGCTTGAGCAATGGGATCGGACTAGATGTTCTCCAGTGGTCTTTCCAACCTCAGCCATTCTTCTGTCTGTGTGCCTGTGAGTTAAAGATGACAGAAAAAAGTTTTAGTTTTGATCACAAGTGTAGTCGTACCAAGAACAAAAGTTTGTATGTTCTCTAATTGAATCTGGTATCTGAAGAAAAATCGCATCAAATCAGTTCTATCATAAGAAGATAACTTCTTATGCATTGTTGTACATTCAAACAGTAGATCAGGAGAATGTTATATAAATAAGTCCACAGATCTGTATAATTTTCAACTGAGCTTTAAAAAAGTTGACTGAAGAAATTCGAAAGCCATGAATGCTACTTTTTGTTAAGCCTGAGAACACTGGAGTAATTCCAACGAGGGCAGAAAAGGGAAGAAAAGCCAGCATCACACTAATACATATATATATATTTAATTTTATGTGTAATCCAGGCAACTACAGTCCTTTCAGCCTGAGCTGAAAAGATAAAATAATTTAAAAGTTAATGGAAGATTATTTTAGCAAGGAACTAGAGGTATGTCATGCAATTTCAAGAAAAATGGCTTAAGTGAAACTGGAATTTCCTATGAGCACCCCTAAAAGAACCCAGGTGTTCTGTTCTTAGGAGGTTAAGAAAAGGAAATGTACCAGACAGCCAACTACTGTCCTTCTGAGTCTCCAGACTGGCTAAGGGCAAACCTAACAAAACAACACTGCCAACAGAAGGATTGCTTTTTCAAAAGTGACAAAACAGATGTGAATAGTTCTCCATGCAGAATAAAACATTTTCAAAAGTGGATCAGCATTTTTTAAGCTCCCTAAATTTGGCAGAGTGTCTTTTTGTAACCCTGGCTCTTAATTTCAAATGTCCTTTATCCACACTGATATTCAAGCAAGGTTTGCCTGGCACTAAAGCCTGGGAAGAAGCTTTAGTGAGCCTGGTACTCAGTTCACTGAGAAATTTTCAGCACAGACAGGTTCTCTGGATTAATACAACTCTGAAAGTGTGAACTAACCAGGTAGCCCATCTAATAATTGAGACAACTTGCTAACAGGTTAGGGTTAACTATGTGTAACAATGGCATTGATTTATGACTGTCAGGTTCATAGTTTATTTAGATTGTTCAATTTAGTAATTTTCTCCAGCTTTCAATTGAACATTTTGGATCAGGTGTTCAATGGATTGATCAATATTAAGTACAATAAATCTCTGTACCACTCCATAAACAAAGTTGATTTTTATAGCTTTGGTGTGATTTAAACCTTTAACACTTTAAACCATTCTGCAGCACTCTTGTCATGTAACTATGTGCTTCTTCTTCACTTCACTTAATTCACATCAGGTTGTGTCTTAAGAATATACAGGGCAATGAAATCCACTGTGTGCTTAGACAGCCTTGATCCTGCAAATGTGCATGCATGCTACTGCATGCGGGTAGATAACTCCTTTGATCCCAGTGTGGCTGCTCACATATATAATAATGTTAAGGTGAATAAGCTGTAAGGGAAGGACTAACATTTGAATGTTGAGTTTTGTGGTTCATGAGAGCTTTCTAAAGATGCAGAGGCCATAGGGAAGGTCAGGTCACATTTGCTTGAATGTAACTTCTTTGATTTTTCCCCACATCAAATTCCCTCTTTCCCCCCCAAAAACAGGCTCGTATCTTCACCTCTAAAGCATGTATTTTACCTTATGATGAATGTACATGTCAAATGTAGCCTGATGACCATTTCCAAATGAATTTGATACTTGGTTCAGGGATGGGAGATTGAATCTTGGCAGGGGGGTGAAGCATGGATACAACACTGAGGGCTTCTCACAGTTTTTAAGACACGCTGAATGGCAAGCTTTTGCTCTTCATTACAGTGTTTCAGTGAAACTACTGGACAAGTCATCTCCCATTTGCTTGATTGATTCAACTAGTTCTTTACAAATTATCAAAGATGATGCATGAAACTTTCTGGAGAAGGAAAACCTCAAGTCATGTTTGGAATACAGATGGTATAGCAGGCAAAAAATAAGTCTTCTGTTTTGAAACTAGGGTTTTGTTCATACAAGAGCTGAAAAGGAAGGGAATACTCTCCCTTTCTTTCCTCAGTATAGTATCATTGACCTCCTGTTCACACACACCCATCACACTGTTCTTGAGTAGGTGCTGCCGGTTTTGGCTGACCTTCGCTGGAGATTTCTCTAGAATGGAGAGAAGCCATCTGACTAAATACCTCTCTGGCATGTGAAAAACTCGTAAGGATAACTGATGCAGTCAACACATGGAAGAATTTACTGTCTTACCCTGAGGTAAAAAGCAGATCCTCCTTAAGCACTTAAATAACTACAAGTGCTTTCAACTCAGGGCTGGTATAAAATAATAATAAAAATAACCAGTCTTTCTTTCTTCAAAAACAGAAGACGGGAAAGGAAAGAGTAACTCTCTGGGCCATCACCACATTCCTTCTTTCATCTCACATACTAAAAAGGCATAGAAAATGCAAAGCAGTTGCACATGTCTTAAAGAGCAAGTTAAATGATTACCACAGGCTGAGATCTTTTAATATCTGTTGAGCTGAGTGTCAAAGACTACACACATTTATGCATTTAACACAGCTTTAAATAGTATGCATAAATGCATGTTGCTGAACTGTGACGGGAAAATCAGGCAAGTATTTTTACTTATAAAAATATCCTACTTCTGTTTTGTTGTTCCATTGTGAAACAATGCCATATTCAGAATCCCAGGATGCAGACCATGAACACCTTCCTATTGCATCTGTCCCTGTGGATCAGCCTCTCCAAGTGGAACTCAGGTTTTTTTCTGGCTTCAGAGCTGCATTTTGACGATGTGGCTTTCTTATTTTCTTATGCCATCAAAACCTGTGAAAAGGGAATGAATCATGTTTCGATTTCTGCAAGAAGCTGGAGATTATTTCCTGTTATATTATGAGAAATGCTCATTTTCATATATAATGCAGTTCTCTGAATCTATAGACAAAAAAACAGGCTACAGAAACCAGTATAATTTTAAATCAACTGACAAAAAAAAAAAAAAAAAAGAAAAAAAGAAACTTCTCTTATTAAGCTAATCTCATAAAATAATAGCTTGTTATGAGAAGTTGACATTAGTAGCAGAGCTGTGTGTGTCTAGAATGAGTATTTACCTGAAATACTCTTCAGTAAAAGGAAAGAACAATTAAAATATGTTAATAGCTGTTTCTAGAACAGCTCTTCTATGTCATCTTTATACTGCCATCTTCTTTCACAGATTCACTGCAAATCTTGAAGGAAAGAAGCCAGATAATCAAGAAACAGGTTAGAATTTTGAAGAAAGATATTTTTTTGCTAATGACTTGAAAATCCATACAATTGAGATGGAAAACCCGGGTCAGGTCCAGTGCGGCCTTTCAGACACTGTCAAACTACATTGCTGAGTCAGTCCTATGTTGAACTGCAAGTCAAGGGGGATCTTCTTACAGTGACACTGACACTGACATTCTCATTACTCTGTCAGAAAAGGAGACATCAGCTTATGACAGCATAGCTATTGCATCATTCCAGGTGTCCCTAACTTGACTGGAGCAAGACAGGATACTTCTAGAGCTACACTTATAAAGGTGATGCTTTTGTGTAGGTTTTTGCACAGCAGGATCCTCTTCAAATCTTAGACATCAAAGACACCACTATTCTGATGATGATTGTGTATATGTTGCTTTTTGCCCTGAAAAAGCTTGCTAGATTGTCACTAAAAGGCAGAGGAGTAACAAATGGAAAAAAAGATAAAGAAATTTCCACCTTTATTTGTTTTAATACCCCTCCTACAGACAGTTCTCTGTAGGCTTCCCAGTCGTAGTTCTGCTAACAAGCACATAGATAAAGGTGATGTATAATTAGTGTCACTGGCATTTTAGTTAAATTTTAGCTGAAAATAGTCATACCAAAAAAGGATTTAGCTGAAAACTAAATCATACCTATTTTTTCATTGTTCACAGTACTGCAGAATTTGAATTGAACTTTGAAAATCAAAGCTGTTACAAAAAACTTTAGACTTTTTTTTAAAAAACATTGATTTACAGGTACACGCAGATGAAAATTCTTTATAATCAGTTTGCCACATTTTGAAATCCTGTTCTCTATCAAAATTAGAGTAAAAGATGACATACTTTTTAAAAAATTTACGCACTGGGTCCTTAAAAATGTTTTGTAGTTTGTACAAAACAGCTTCATATTCTCAAGTTCGTGTGATGTTCACAAAGTTCTTGAAGTTCATTTTATATTGTTCAGTCGTGTCCCTTAAATAAAAATCGTTAATGAAGTGTTAGGCAAGTGTACATCCAAATGACGATTCTGCTACAGAGCTATTTTAGAAACTTTTCATTATTAAAGCACCATTGATAAAAAGTAACTGTCCTGCAATATCTCAAATCTGTTGATGTCTGTTATAAATTTCCCCTTTTTGCACTGGAACGAAAGATGCAGCGTTGCACTTAAGGAACTGAATTCCGTAGCAGGGCAACATGATTTGCCAATTCACTTGATCTATAAAACTTAATCTACACACATGGATCGTATTACAGGCATTTCAAAGGTGGATGATAAAATGTAGTCTAGTGAATAAGGAACATGGATTCAGCCATATTCAGATGAACCTTTTCTAAACATGTACCAAATCTCAATAACTGTACTAAATGGTCTCAGCTAGATAGAAAATGACACATATTTAGACAATACCAACTCTGCTGAAGTTTAGTTTCACAGAAAGTTTTAGTCTTACAGAAAGATCTCTGCTTTAGTGGGAAAAAAAAAAAAAAAAAAAAGATTGTGAAATGGAATGAAACATTAGCATTTAGACACAGCCAAAGCAGCAGCCTGGGATTACAATCCAATTTAAGTTAATGGCAGCTTCATACAAAATACACTGGCAAATAAAGTCTCACTTGTAGTTACTCACTAGTATGATGAAAGATCAGTGAAATTCACGTTATAATAAGATTTTCTGGAAAAAAAAAAGAAAAGATATTCTCAATGAGAAGAACAGCTAAGGAAAACAAAAAAAACAGGACAATTGCAGTGACGAAAGTCAATAGCAACTCAGAATTAAAATTAAGAAATATAAAAATATGAACTATTGCTTTACGACCAGCACTGAAATGATTTAAGGAAGGAACATATTAAGAAAACTTCAGCTTCTGGTAAACTATCCTGGATCACCTGCAGAGCATTTACAATACACAAAAGCTGTGAACCTGCTGAACTAAGGTCAGTTATTTGTTAAGAGGGGGACTGTTTTGAGAATTGTGAGGCAGATGAATTGATTTGGGATCATAATATCTTGATCTTTATTTCCCACCCATCTTGCCCTTCACAATGAAGCTGTTACCTTTTCACAAAGAATGCAGAGAGCTTTAGAATGGCAATGAACATCAAGCTGACGTATCTCTCAGTAGCTGAGTTTCCAAATGTGGACAGGCAACTTATATGCACACGCACTAATCAAGTCTCCCTCTTTCCGCAGGAGGCTGCTTAGTGAAATAAATGGTAGTAGGATTCATGCAGTGTTACTTAGGGAATAGGGAACAGATGGAGAAGATTGAATTCCCAGGGCCTGTGGCTGCTAGGGGATTTCCCCACGCCACTTAGGTCTTTGAAATAAGACAAGAAAGTTTTCTAAACCACAGAAGACAAAATTTTACTCCCTAGTAACTTTTCCATTTATTTAAAAGACTCTTCCAGCAGAGAAAATACTTCTCTGCAGCAGATATAATAACTGCCCCAGATCTATGGAGTGATCCCATGGGGTACACTGCGGTTGTCCTGCCAGTTCCCTTGTTAGCTAAACCACAAAATGATGGGATACTAGCCATGAGAGAGCATATTGTTGTGCTGTTTGGCACTTACGTGTGGAGAATATTAACTGGTATCTTTATTGATTAATTGCATCTTTTAATGACAGGAGGGAAAGGGTTAGGATATGGATTCCTGCTGAATGGGACAGGTTAGTGAAACACGGGACTTATAAATCACCCAGTCTGCAGGGGCTTCAGCAGCTGAGTGACTGTACAGAGATGTAGCACAGCCAAAGCTAATTGCACTGTTGTTAGTCATGTAAACAGCAACAGATAGAGGATGCTTCTTTAGAGAAAACAAATGTACTTTGTCTATGGTAAATGCAGTCATTATAGATAGATGTTGACCACTGGATTGAAGTATCTCATTTGATGAACCCTAGAAGGACATGGTAAAATAACTTAGAGGTTATCAGCGTGAAGAACACAGAGAAGAGTGGCTGTCATGAAGGTGAGGGGGTGATGCCTATGGAAACAGCAGTCCATTCTGACTAGCTTTCTACCATGCAGGGTTATTGTGTGTTTCACTGTGAATGGCTGCAAATCCAAACAATGAGGGTTTTACCAGGGGAGAGCTAGCAGAAGCCAACAGGTATTTTATGTTTAGAATCATGCACCTTACTTTCCTTCTCTCCTCTGTCTTTTAATTTCCAGTGGATCACTAGGAGAACAAGCAAAGATAATGTTCAACTTATGATTTAAGTCACAGCAGAAGAAAAGGTGACTAAAGTAGTGTAGGGGGCATTTTGACTTAGAGAGTAGTTAGATTCTCTTTTGTTGACTCAGCTTAAAAGAGTCAGAAATGTTTGTATTTATTTTAGGAAAACATCAAAGCATCCTCCCAGTTCTGACCATAACTTCTGGGTATGACAGTGATTACTGCAATAACAGTTCTTTTTTGATCCAGCTGAGCCAATAACGCTAAATTTACTTCTTGAAGTAGCACTTCAGTTTCCATGAACTTCCTGCTTTATGCAGGCCAGGCATAGAGTAGAATGCAATTTCATCTCTGAATCTGAAATCTGCAGTTTAAATTATAAGATTTAGTTTTTCTCAGGTTTCAAGTCCAAGAACAGATCTGAAAGGCTGTGGGATTTAATTGCATTATAAATATCGCTGCAGGAGAAGAAGTGTGTCCAATATTAAAATTGAATCTCTACTCTGCCTCTTCACCAGCACCATCTCACTCTGTCTGCTTCAGTCTTTCGGATAATGGCCTGCTTTGCTGGAGATGGGTGGATACTAACTGTGTCAAACCAAAGGTATGAGAGTCAGAGCCCCTTCCTGAGGAAGTAAATCCAGGCAGTCCCTTCAGTATCAGCCAGCAAAATCTCACTGTGCACTCTGAGATTTTCTCAGATCCAGACAGGACTGTCGCCAAGCAGAAAACAGGGCTTCATCACTTTCCTGGCATGTTCCTTGGCTAGCACATGTGGTGGTTTACAATAAAACCAGTGCAAATCCCAGTTTGTGGTATATCATTCTCCTGTTGCAGATGGGAATAGAGGCATATTCCAGGGATTCCGAGGTCCTGCACACATGCTCTTCATCCTGTGCTGTGACTGCCTCTCTCCCTCCCAGGACTAAGTAGCAGAGGTCAGGGAATGAAAGGTGGTTCACTTTGAGTAAATACAGGCAAACATAGACAGGCAAACATTTTGTGAAAGGAGACATACAGCATTTAACCTCATGGTTTTCTCCATTCAGAGAGAATATTTATAGTATTTTTCCTCCTCCAGCACAGCCTGGCATGCAGCATCTGCAGGGGCTGCCCAGTAGGATGAGAGAGGAGGAGTGCAGGAATTAAGAAGATGACAAGAGGTGGGAGCCATTCAGTTTTTATTACACGCTAGCTTGTTGCAGAGGAAAATTAAGGTGCACCAGAAGGCAGCCCAGGAAAACAGAGGAGTATCAGTTATCTCTTCTTTGTGCATATAAGGAGGGAGAGACAAGACAAACTATGCTATTCTTAGGTCCAGTTTCTTCCTTGTG